AACATTATAAAAATTGAGTAACAACAATAAATAATCACCAAAAAATTTTCAAAGAACAAACACAAAGCATCCAAAAATAACATCTCAAAATGACATCAAACGCGGTCCTTCAGTCCGCACGTTCCACATTCCGTATTAAATATAGAGTAACCGTTTTTCTAACCTCAAGAGGGAATGTCGTGATGATAAGTGAGTAGGGGAGGCCACTTGAACCACGTGGATAGGTTAGGGCCGGCCCAGCTTTGAGCCGGGCCCCTTGACCTCGCGAGAGATAAAAGCATCATGATGGAAGTATATCGTATATACAGACATACCTACATATATACGTCTGTATATACAAACGTCTTGAGTGGACGTCGATGTTATTTATTAAGGACGTTTCCCCGTTTTAGGCGGTCGTCGACTAATGGAATAACTTTAAAGGGAAGGTGTAAAAGTTGGAATGTTTGGTCCAAATGTTTGGCTAGCGGATACTTTGATATTTAGGTGAGGATTTCGTGAGTGTTATGGTAATTAGAACTGTGATTTAGGTACCTATTACAATATTAGAATTCTTTTTTATGGGATAAGCCGGTAAACGAGCAGATGCATCACCGTAGTAAGCAATCCGTGTCGCCCATGGACACCTGGAACACCAGAGGCGTTACAAGTGCGTTTACCGGCCTTTTGGGGATTAGGAGTTTGAGGATTGCTGGGATTGGGGAGATAGGGGAAAAGGGGGGTGGATGGGCTTCCGGTAACCTCACTCAAATGACGAAATACAACGCATGCGTTGCTTCACGTCTATTTTTTGTGAGGCTGCATTCATGCCGAAGCATGGCTCTGCCACACTTATTTCGAACGCGATAATTTTGGAGATTAGCGCGTTTAAAATATTCTCTATAGCTTTATAATACTACATTTATCTATGGCATAGAGGTATAGCAATATAGCATAACAACATCACGGCTTTTATCCCCGAAGGGGTAAGCAAAGGTGCACATTATGGCAATTAATGTCACTGTACAATGTAACACCCACTTTTCACTATTTATGTTATAAGCCCCATGTTATAGAGGGTAAGCCTATTGCTAAACACGGAGCACAATTCCACACTCCGAGCTACTATTGAGAATTTTATTTTAAAAAACCCAGTATTACTTTGCCCGACCCGGGAATCGAACTCGAGACTCCGCACTTGCACGTCGCACTTGCGGCCACTAGGCCAACGAGGCAGACATAGTAATATAGATAACTGGTATATTATAAGTGTCCGTATTTATAACACATATTGTTATTATACAGAGTAGTCCGCTATTTATAGTACCCCACTGTATCATATCTGAACTTTCGATAACTACTTCCATTTGCCTATGGGGCAAAGTTTGTTCTGTACAGACAAATTAAACAGATCGTCTCGAATTATATATATACACGTGTAGGTGATTGTACCGTGATTGAAAGAGCAAGTAAATGTCAGGTGTTACGAGTACGCAAATAACCTGTCTTAAAATGGGATCTAATAAGTTTTCTAGCAGTGTTAATCAGAGGTTAGAGTCGTGATTGAAATGAAATGAAATTATGGAATCTATACCTCTATATACATATAATAAAATCGTAGGAAAGTGAAAACTGTACATTGAATGTCCTTTTTAAAGAATGCTTGAGACGTGATGTACAATCGATACCGAAACCAAAAATATGGTTTTTAGAATTTTTGTCTATTTGTCTGTATGTATGACCGGGATGAACTCAAAAAGTATTGCATGGATTTACTTCAAATTATGCTTGAATATTACTAACAGGTTGGGTCAACATATAGGCTACATATTATTATGTTATCAACTACGGGGGAGGAGCTGTGAATCACTATTCCACGAGGACGAAGTCGCTCAGTTAGTAATGAAATAAAATTATATTTATTTCTGCAAATAGGTTACAAAGTAACACTTTTACACGTCAATCCTTAAATTACTAGATGAATAAGATAGTAAAGAAGGCCAGCATTACCTAACTGACTACTCTGAGTAGAAACGTCGAAACAAACTCAGAGGTCATTGTCTCATTGTTGAATAAGGTTCTAAATTTGTTTTAAAGTCGTTGATAGTGGTATATCATGATAAAACGAATAAATTAGAGATTTTTTTGTAAATAAAAATGCTGTAAGCATGCATCTACCTACATTTTCAGGAATTAAATACAGAATGTAACATTAAGTTTGTATTATAAATGTACCAGCTGTCTGTGGAAGAAATGATAAATGATATATGAAATAGGTTAAACCTATGTCTTTACAGCGTCATAACTACCTTTAAGTGTAAGAATTATAATTGGTTTACTATGTAAATGGTATGTGTAGACATATTTATATCGACTTGATAATAGCCTCTGTTTATTTTTCGTCCATTATAAACACTATTGCGACGTGAAATAAAGATAAACAAATACACTTTCTCATTTATATTAGATTAGACTTTATTTATCATTATTTTATTTATCTTTATGTAAGTTATAATCTGAGCCCCATATAACCTTTAAAACACATCAGCTCAGTAAACCGTTACTAAACAAAGCACGAGGAACTATTTCTACTGAGCTCTCTATCACAGGAACCAGAGTAAATGCAGACTACAAAAACAAATATTTGCAAAGCAAGTATCAGTGGTTAGTTCTACTAATGGTGAGCGCTGTCTTGCGGCACGGTATCGCTTTGTTTCCGTACAGTTTAATGTAGAAACATTTTACTTCGTTAAAGGTTTATTTAGTCTATTTCCAAGTCCTAGATTTAATTGTGTAATAGGTATTATGTGTGTGGGTTTTGTTACGTGTGTGAGCTTAAACTGGTGGCCTGATTGTGATGAAGTTTTGTTGCAGGACAATTGGGATGATAACAGTGTATGAAAATTAAAAATCTAATTAGTCCGTAAGTTAGGTAATGAAAATATATTAGACACGTTTTTTTTTATTTTATCGTATAATAAAACAATACTTAGATAAAACAAATCAAAGTTTAGGAGTGGGGCTAAAACGTCATTTCTACGTATAAAATGTACATAGAAGTGACGTCACGCGACATTTACAATCAATACTTCGTCGAAAGTATTCGTTTCTTTAAGAAAATTAAAAAATACATTAAAATAAAAATTAGGCATCTACTCTATTAGGCTAATATAATACTATTGATGGTAGAAAGTTGAAATTGAAAGTATTTTTTACCCGTAGACCTACCTATCTTTACCTACCTTTACAAATCTTTAATTTTGGGGAAAATGGGCATGAAATTATGTGCATTAAAAAAAATGAGTCGGTTGTTGTAACTGTATTAAGATGACTGTTAGTTTGTTCCGAAGTTTTATTGCGTGTAGACTATATTGATAATTATCTGTGAGACTGTGCTATTGAATCTGACACAAAAAGTAGCCGAATCTAAAAAAATTTATGCCCTTGACATACTTGTCTAGTGCCATTTTAAAGAAGGAAGGATTAAACGTTTTTGAATCTACTTTGATTATACAATCAGATAGAAATCACAGCTTAACTTTCGCAATCATACACAACAAAAATATATATTGTCTGCAATTACCACGGGTCTAATTCTAGAACTTTTTATAGATATTTACATATCTAATGTTATGATATTGTATTTAGTATTTTGACACTGAATTAAATTTTTTTTTACATTGACTGATATTGTATTTAGTAATTTGACAATATACGTTTTGACATATTGACATTGTATTTAGCATTTAAACATTATAAGAAATGTTTTAACACTTTGATGGAAATAACACTGATACTTTTATTTACTGTCATGTACCAAGCAAAATCTTAGATGTGTGTTTGAATCAATTTACTTGGCATTATTGTAATGGCTTTTTTTAATTTATTTTATAAAGCAATATTAACATAATATTTCTACACCAGCAATGGTAGTGTATGTGAAACAATATTTAATGTAAAACCTCAATGTACCATATAGTTGGAAATAAATGACATTCTATTCTATTCTTATTTATTACCTTACAGTAGGTACTTATCTACGTTTATCTCTAGTTACTTATTCATTACACGAGTAACACAAGATATTTCTGTCGCAAGTGGTAAAACAAAATATAAAATGTTCTTGGATGATGAATCAACTTCTAGACAGACAAAAACTAGTAGATTCACGCACATTACTTATCCCTAATTGTGTTTTACCTAAAACATACATTTTCTTTACCCTGGAGTAAGTTTAGATTTATAACACAAGTTTTTATTTTCAGTTTTGGGGTAAAAGTTTCCAATATGGCGTCTAGATAAAAAGGGGATAATTTAAAAAGTATGAGTAAAAAACGAAACTGACGTTTTCATTTGAAAAACATCCTAGCATACATCATCATCATAACATCACGCCTTTTATCCCCGAAGTGGTAGGCAGAGGTGCACATTATGCCACTGCACAATGTAACACTCACTTTTCACTATTTATGTTATGAGTCCCATGTAATAGGAGGGTGAGCCTATTGCTATATACCGGGCACATTTCCAGACTCCGTGATACTATTCCGGTTTATTCTGTATAGTCTACCACTATGTATAGCATAATTATCAAATTAATTCATTTTATGATTCGTGACGTATGATTTTATTGGTTACAATTCCTTAAAAAATTACAATATGCTCAATATTGTCTTCGCAGGTATATGACGTCAAATTTTTTACAAAATAATACTTATATCTTAACTAATAATATCAAGTTTCCAACAAGATCTTCGTGTTTATTTCGATTTAGAAACAGAAATAAAGCTTTCGTTTCATCTATTTAATCAGTCTTTCAATAGCACCTTATTTGATATAATCTAAAGCGTAAACCCTTTGATTGTAAATGAAATATTTAATAACGAATGTAATTTAATTTATTTACCATTCAAATACCCTTATTCATTTGCAATATTTTATAATTTGACAGTCTATCAGAACTATTTTGATTAAGTTTGTTAATAGAATTCGATTTTAATTTTAACTTTTCTTTGTTTCAGATATACTCACAAATTAATAAGAATATGACATAGTGTTCAACTAAGTGTAAATGAAAATGCTTAACGTAATGACTTTTCGGTATAAGCGTGCATCCGCTGCGGCGGTCAGCGCGTTTCTGACGATTTTAGTGTGTGTTACGCTTGAAGTAAGCTCGGTGGAGGGGAGGCAAGAACCACACAAGTTTACCATAGAAGAATTGTTATCTACTCATTTTGAACACAAGGACTCTGGGGATCTTGGAATGGATCCTTGTAAAGCTGGTAAGTGAAAATAAAACCATTATTTTTGTTCACATCTCCGAAACAAAGTTAAGAAAAATATAAAATGCAAAATTAAGATCGCTTACTAAACAAATACGTGAAGATAAAGATTTCTACGGTTTCTTTAACAAATAACAAATATCTTTGCAATAAAAATCAGTAGATGTTGAACTTTTTATGTCTGTTCTCGTAAAATGACAGTTTAAGACCCTTTTTCTTTCTTCGTCGTTCATATAAATCCCTGATATTGGGACGAGACACATATCAAATGTAGACAAATTCCTTGCTGACGTTTTATGAGAGAAAAAGGACACGAGACTCCCGCTCGCAGGCAAGCCTTTTGTGTTCCGAGTTCTGAGACACTAATTTGATAGTTGCATCTGGAATTTCCTGTTCAAATTAACAGGAAATTAATACCTATTACATAATGTTACGCATCGATATAAGTTTTATGTAACACGACAGGATATTTACATAAAGGTTGCTTGCAGAAAAATAATACAATATTAATTTAATTGTTAAATAAGGACTATTATGTTTTCGGCTTACTGACGTGAGTAGGTAGGTATTTATTTATTTAGTAATTTATTTAGTATGTCTCACGAAAGTTATAATACAAATAAGGATTATAACAGTTTCAGTATTATAATTTTTTTATATTTGTAATCGACATTTAATCGCTTTGCCACCTAATTTTATGCCTGCTGCATATATCGGGTTCGTAACTAAAATTTTGATTGATCACGTCAATTTTATCACCTGTATTTGTTTTGAAAAACTTAATATCAACCTAAAGTGGCTGTCATAAGGCCATAAAGGAAGTTTTATGACAATTTCCAAAACATCTATCTTTACCCCCATCTTTATGGGAGGTGGATAATTCATATAACCGTTAACCGTTACCGCCTTAACAGTATTGCCATCGTGTCGGGCAATTGGAACAAACAATCTGTGAAAGCGGCTACCGGCCAGGCGGGCAGATAGGCCGGGCGTCATGGACAGCTTATAATTCTCAATGATTACATCCGCACGGAATTTGACACAATTCCCAGAGTGGTGTGGTGTAAAAGTTGTGCGATAGCGAAGTTAAAGTTATACATAGTTAAATTTTGTTGCTAAAATTATTGATATACGAGACAGACAATTAATGTTTTAATAATGCTTACAATGCTAATTTCAGTAGCTTTCAACATACTGCTGAACGTCCCAATGAAGGCGACAGATTGTAGGAAATAAAGGAAAAAGAAAAACATTTACATTTTTAAAATTAAACTGTCAAACACCGAGCGGCCACCGGTGACCGCAACCTATTGTTCTTTAATTGTGTCGGTGTTATGTCGTATAATGACGGTACTCAACGAGTTAAAGAAGTAAAAATATTCTTAACAATTTTATTTCAATATCAAGATACAGGTATTCTGAATATTCGATCTCAAACTCTAAGCAGTATTAAAATATAGCCTAATCAAATAAACTGCTTGCTTCAGTTAAAACTTGATTAGTTCAAGTTTAACAGCTTTGGAAAAATATTCTAAACTACTAATTAAGAAGTATCTAAATAAAGTAGTAGTAATAAGTGTGGGAGAGCCATACTTCGACACGAATGGCACGGCTTGACCGGAGTGATACCACGACCCAGCAGAAAACCTACATAAAACAACGCTTGCGTTGTGTTTCGTCGCGTGAAACCTCACTTACCCCAAATTACCCCACTCCTCTTCCCCAATTCGTCAATCCCGAATAATCCTCAAATGTCTAATCCTCAAAAGACCGGTAACGCACTTATAATGCCTCTGGTGTTCCAGGTGTCCATGTCCAGAGCGACGCCAATTGCTTACCATCATGTCATCTTTTTGACCGTTTATCGGACTATCCCATAAAAAAAATTACAAATATATGAATATAACGGACGTATCTCGCTATTTCTTATGCCTCGAGTTACATTCTAGAACGAGCAAAGAGGGTTTGTTTTTATCGCTCGCCGTTGATTTCTGTTTTAGTACTTTTTAATGGTACCTCCCTGGCGAGATTTAAATACCCTACATTGTCCGTCCGTAGTCGCGGGAATAGTTCCAGCAGCCTTTTTAAAACAAAAAAGTTTTAAATTCAAACTCTTTTGTGTTATTTAAATATGTGCTCTTCGTGGGAAGTTGTGAAATCTCGTTGAAGTGAAATTCGGTTGGTCGAGTTTTTAAATAATATTTGGGTAGGATACATTTCGTTGTAATTAAAATATTATGTAGGTACTGCTTTATTCGTGTTCTTTCTATGTTTATTTCTTTTTTGTTTTACTGTGAAATATGAGGAGAACTACATAGATTATAAAATACGTGAATGTTATGGTAAAATGGTATTTTAAGGGTTTCTCTCTGTCTATCCCTGCGAGATAAGTTTATGTAAATATTATGTGAACATAAAATCCTCTGCCAGGTCTTTATATGAACGCTCGAACACAAAGCTTCAATAAACAATTTTAAAATGGACCCCACTCCGTCTGGCGAGTAAATAAATAGGGATGGCTGTTGTCGTTTTAAAATAAAATAAACAATTAACGCGTCACAACCCGATGGATGATGAAAAAACCGTCAAAGTTTATCGGCACGAAACGGTCGCACGGCACTAAATTGGAATCTGGCACTCTATAAACCTTTAATGTCAATAAAGCGGTCCCTCATCAAGTGAACCGTAAAATCGGTGGAATGCCGGTTTTTACACCCGTCACCGTGATCAACGATGAAATTGTTCTTTTTTTACCTTTGCGAGTTCTGATTGTTGTCGCATACAACGGTGCTGAAGGCTGCGTGAAAAATTTTCAATATTTTTTAGTCCAAAAAAGAGCCTGCAACCGACATGTTTTTATTCAGAATGCAGGTGAACGAACGAAGCTTAAAATTCATAATTTTCAGTGAATTCAGCGAGTTTTTAATAAGGTTAAATCCAAATGTTGAACTTTATCTACTATTTTACATAAATTTGGTAAAGCGTATAATGTAAGTCAAAGATTGTCTTTTCGTAGATCGTGCTACGTGCTACGCTTGAACGGCTACGCGATTAAAACTCGTAGCACGTCGTAGCGCTGCGTAGCAAACTTTCATTTTGATTTACTATGAATTTGAATCTTTTAAAAAGGTGAACAATGACCTGTTTCATGTATTGTATCGAGTAGTACTTCATTTTTATATGAACATTTGTTCTATTAATTTCGAAATAAATTCTTTTAAAATCTTCATAACTAAAGAATATTATTTTATAGGAATAGATTGAACTTGGAAATCTCTGGCAAACAATTGCGTTTATAAGTACATTATTAAAATAAACTTGGCACAGTATACATTCATAAGTCGCTAAGTTAAGTAATAAATTGTTCATTGAATGAATGTATGAATGAATGAATGGAACTGCAGCTGAATGCAATAAGACCGATTTAATTTGCTCACCGTTCTCTTGTGGGCGTTTCACGGGACCATTCACCACAATATTTAATGGTTTCGTTCGCGAACAGACCTCACATTTAATGGCACAGGATTTATTACTTAGCTTCCATACACTTAAGGTTGAAATTCTTTTACAGAAAAGTTTTAACAAACAATTAGTTTTTGTTTAAGTAAAGACGAAGTCTAGATTGTATGTCTTGATTTTTTTCTACAAATACTAAACTAGGTCTTAGTAACATAAATTCCAATGGATCGACGCTAAATTTTTTGTATTTTTTTATCGTGGCTCACACTAAGAGTTTCTCTTGTGTCGTGGGTGCGTTTAAAAACATACAATTTCACATACACATGACATCATCACACAAAGAGTTGTTACGTGCGGGAATTGAACCCGACATAGTTCCGCGGCAACCGGTTGACATCCACAATGATAATTTATGAATTTTCTCATTGCATAACATAACATCATAACATCGCGCACAAAGGTGTAGGCAGAGGTGCACATTACGGCAACGGTATTACGGCTTAACGCTACTGTAGAATGTAACACCCACTTTTCACTATTTATGTTATTTATGAGTCCATTGGAATGGGTGGTGAGACTACTAATGAAAATTAAAAAAAAAACAGTAATACTGTGCCCAGCACGGGAATCGAACCCGAGACCTCTTGCCTAGCAGTCTCACTTGCAACCACTCTGTCAAAGAAGAAGTTTCTCATTATAATTCAGAAACATCTTTTCAAATCAACATCAAATCTAAAACCCCACACATCAGTTCGTTTCCTACCACTCAAAAAATAAAACAATCACACTAATATTATAAATGTGAAAGTTTATTTGTTTGAATATTTATCCGTCAATCACGCTGAAACTACTGAACGGATTTTGATGAAATTTGTATACAGGCATTAAATGCTCCTAAGGAATAAAACAGTAATCACATTCTACGTGAACGAAGTCGCGAGCAACAGCTAGTACAGCAATACAGAATAAGAACTAAAGTAATGGAACTTTTTAAAACCCACAAACAGTCTTGTGTACAATGTACAATAAAAGTAACAAGAATATTGTTCCTCCACAGTACATACGGGGACAAATTAATCTTTGTCGTTTACGACTAGGTTTTTATGTGTAAGCACGAGGACATAAAATATTTAGGGGTTAGAATTTGTCCCGGTCGAAAAATGAGTCCGGTTTGTAGAATATGTATTGCGGACATTCTGTTCTTTGTGTAAAATGTCGCTAGAATATGGACAGCATTTTTATACCCTGGTCAAGTATAATTTTAACAAAGGAATCGGTATTTTGGGTTTAAAATTTTATGAAGGTTGTAATAGTTGAGTCTTAGGTTTTTACTACATGATAAATAACTAAGTGTGGGAGAGCCTTGCTTCAGCACGAATGGGCGGGCTCGACCGGAGTGATACAGTCTCATAGAAAACCGACATGAAACAATGCTTGCGTTGTGTTTCGTCGTATGAGTGAGGTTACCGAAGGCCTAATTACCCCCCCCCCCCTCTTCCCCAATTTCCCAAATCCCTAATCCCCAACAATCCTCAAAAGCT